ATGTATGTATGTATGTATGTATGTATGTATGTATGTATGTATGTATTCCGACACATACTATTACACATATTATTCCGACACAATTTTCAATCTTGTCTGAGGGGTGCGCCCACGCATTCGACAGGAAGAGATAGCACACAGTTTGAGTAGTTCACATTGATTTCTCGAAAAGCTGAAGTTAGCTGGAACTCCTCTTATGAAATGGCTCAATAGCATCGGAGAAGGAGTTCAGGGCTTCTTGCTACAAATAAGGCTTGAGTATTTGCATCTTTTGTGAATGATTTGCGTAAGGTCAGGTGAGCAAGAATCGAGCTTCACACAATATTCACATTTCTCCTGCGCAACAACATCAAAACCAGCCCATACAAATTTTATCTGTTCAAAAACCCAGGTTTTCTATTCTCGTAATCGTATACCAGCATTCATGTTTCCTCACCTAATCAACCCTCCTGTTTAAACTCGATGATTCTCACCTGAGTTTTTGCACCCAGTGTCCTGGTGCCTGAATGATGAACGGAGCTCTGAATCCATAGAGACTTGCCCTCAACCTATTGGAGAAAACATCAAAAGCTGAATGCTCGGCACAATTTGGTAGAATCGTTATTTTCACTTCACGGTTTCTTTCAACCCCTTGTCGCCAACTACACAAAAATTCAATGAGGCGACGTCCAAAACTTCATCATACTCAATAATTTGGCTATCTTTTACAATACTACCGAGCATTCAGAATGTTTTTCTACCTGGAGGCCTGACCTGTTGCTGGAACTCCTGGGACGAGATTATCAATTGCAAAATTATACATAGCATGCTGAGTGATCGACGTTGAAACCTGCCCATTGGCATGAACGTATCCCATTAATTTTTAATGTGGTTACGAAGATGGTCTTTCAATCTAAAAAAACAGCTACAATCACCGTTATAAGAAGGGATATACTCATGATGTAGGCGAATATCGGGAGATAATGGTAATCGGTGATGGGTAATGGGCTTTTTACATGCTCTTTCATTCGTTATTGAACCGTTTGCGAGCCGGAAATAGAATGGGAGAATGTACCGAGTAGGGCAGGTAAAAAAAGGAACTTCAAAGTTCCAAAATGGGCGGAAAGAATCATACTGCCCGAAAAAACCGACAGGGGAATAATACTCAGTAGGTAGCAAAAGGCGTGGAACGACAAAGTTTCAGGATGAAAAGGAAACAATGACCTGAATCTTATTAGCAACGCCAGTGCTTTCCATACGCGATGCCATATTGACCGTGTCGCCGAACAAGCAGTATCTGAATATAGATAGAGCAAAACTGACAATTCGGGGAGATTCGAACTTTTCTATTTCAATGATTTCTGCCACAAAGGAAAGCTTGATAATTTAGAGCAAAGTTTCGACTCTACCTTGGAGCTGCTAGGCCAACAACACCAGCTGCTACACTTCCACTGTGGAATCCAATGCGAACCATCATAACCTCGTCAGGACGATGTTGAAGTTTGAAGTTGGAGACGAAATGGAATCAAGATTGTCAGTTCAAGCGAGCACAACAGAAATGCATTACCGATCTCATCTTCAATGCGACATCCGCGATATGTTGCACGTGATTATTGCCGTTTTCGTTTGGAACGCCAGATACAATCATATAAGCGTCACCGATAGTCTCAACCTGTAAGTATACTATCACACCTACAACTTTATAGATGGTGCTTAGTAAGCGAGAAACCCTCCCCCAGGCTCATAGTGGTTTCCATAAGGTGTCTGAAGCGTGAAGCTTATTTTGTCTGATGAAAGAATTCCTCTCAAAAGACTGCGTAAAGTCCCTCACTTCACAACTAATCATTTTAGGAGCAGAATGAGTCAGCTGAAGAATTTTCATTATTAAACAATTGAACAGTGAGCGCCCCATTGCGACTCTCAAATAAAACGATGAAGATCACTTGTTCAAGCAATATCACCCATACAATTTTTAAAATTATACCATGATTACAGCGATTGCAATATCGAAGTGTTTCGGGTAGGCGGATTCGAAACTGAATATATAGTTCACTTACATCGCCTATTGCTGATCGTTATCAAATGGCTCCCTACGGTCTAAACTTCTTCAACGCATGAAAACTCTTACTCCATCGTTTGGAAAATGTTAGATATCGTCTGGTCACCACGATAAGAGCGTAATAATCGGTTGATATCCAGAAAACACTAGAACACCATTTAAAAAAATTCAACCTTGTAAGCGTCGTGTTTAGCAATAATTGCGTCGAATCCGGAGAACATGTCGTTGAGAAAAGTGACTATTTGCAGAGGAGTAGACGTCGAGGATATCTTTGTGAAGCCTAAATTGAAATAGCGCAGGAGGTGAACGATAATGGCGGTTTAACTATGAGACAGGGACAATCTTTTTGGCATACGACAGTGACCTAACCTTCTAGAAATCGAGCAAGCTTACTTGGTTGAAATTATAATTGAAAGATTCAGTTGTTAAGTGGCAGCCATCACTAGAAAAACTACATACATACTGACTGAAGACAAGTTCACAAGTTACAACTTACAACAAGTTTACACATGCTTTTCATTTCGCTTCCCGGTGTAAACCTGATGTTACAACAATTTCCTGTTCATGTGTGCTACCGTTTTGATGCATAAGCGCAAACAGATATCGTAAGATCTCGGAAAGCCTTAGTCAATCTCGCGACGAGCTCCGTCGGGTCGACAATTCCGCAGAATCAAGGAGTCGTATTGTGAATATATATGTGATTTGGCTAATTTCAGATGAGCACATGATGCTCTTCAACGGACACCTCACTCCACTTAGATTGAGCATTACTATATTTCGCCTGAGGATCCTCTATGATATTGAGCCTTCGAGTTTTCCAAGTAGCTCGACAATCGCAGAAGCATCCAACAGACAAGAGTGAGCTGATTTCCCTTGTACAAGCGTTACAAGAGCTCTTGTCAATCATCTTTATGATATAAACCAAAAACGTTCTTTTGGATTGACAGGTCATAAGAGAATGAGAGCTTCACGAGCGAGATTGGAGCCAAATCCATGATTCGCTTTGCTTCAAGCCAGAAAAGATGCTTTCGCAACAAGTGAATTTGCTATGCACAATCTCTTCAACAATTATTCACGAAAGTGTTTATTTTGCTAGAGATGATGATGTAATACAAAAAAGTATCTCGTATGTTAAAATGTCATCAAGTCTTTTAATCATGACCGCATCACTAGCTCCACGGCCCTCAAAGAACTAACCGCAGTTGACTTACACAGCTGTTCCGCACCCACATTCCGACCGTTGCCTTCCCTTACCGGTCACCTCACACCTTTCATCCCGTTGACATCGATAACTCGAGCGGAAGCCAGTAATGTCCGGAGCTTTCGTGAAGAAGTCACCATCGCGCTGGCGGCCGTCCTGGCTTAATTTTACGTCTTCAAAGATCCAGTCAGTAAGGCTGTGGTCTAACGGCACCATGATGTCGCGTACATATACGGCTCACCTGGTCTTCCAATCCTTCGCGTGAGCCACGAGCTCCCGATCTTCGTTAGTTGACGAACCTCGTGACTCTGGAATCTCTTCTGTATTGGCGTGTATACGAAAAATCCAAGCAGCCTCTCTTCCACGCGTACTGAACAATGCTGACTGCCTGTTGCTTCGCAGAATCCACGTGTCCGAGGCGTACGTCAAGACAGGAAGGAAAGCAGTGTTGAGAATGTGAGCGTGAAGCCGGAAGTTCTTTGCCTTCTTCACTACTACCTCAAATTCTCAAGTGCGGCCCATGCAGAGCATTTCCTCCTGCTCAACTTCGAATCTAGGTCACCATCATGTTGACTTCCCGACCCAGACGCACACAGCTAGAGCATTCAAAAAAACTCGTTTCTGTTTAGCGTGAAGAAAGCGTCAGGCACCAATCCATTTCTCATGAACCTTGTCTTCGTTAAGTCCAGTCTCAAACCAATCCTCCCACAAGCTTTGTCGAGTTCGGTAAACATTCGTGTCACCTGCTCAATCTTCGGTATTTGGAAAATC